CACTGTTTTCCATGTCTCTGGGTCATTCTTGCATGTTTCTTGACTAACACCTTCCCCCTCTTTCCACCATTATCCTCCTATCCCATGCCCTCTAGTCACTGTAAATCTGTTCCATGTTTCCATTCTTGTTTTTATGTTTTGTTCATTAGCATATTTTGTTCATTAGATTCCTCTTATAAGTGAGATAATATGGTATTTGACCCTTACTGTCTAGCTTATTTCACTTAGCCTTAATAGTCTCCAGTTCCATCCACGTTGTCTAAAGGGCAAGAGTTCCTTCTTTCTTTCTGCTGAGTAGTATGATGATTTTTAATTTTGTTTAAAGAAATTTTCTATTTATGAGTAAAGATAATCTTTAAAGTATTTTAGCTACTGAAAGAAAGTTATTGAGTCTCTGAACATAAGACAGGGCTATTTGCTACCTCTTGATGATGGTATCTTCCTTGAGTGTAAGCTACAAGGAAAAACACTTAGTCCAATTTTAATCATCAGTTTTCAAGGTTATGTTCATTAAATTTATGCTGCTGCACATCCAGAAAGTCAATTTATCAAGAATTTCTGGTCTTAGGTGATAATTATGCTATGCTCCCCAGAGTTACATGTCTTTCATTCAGCTGCTTGTTGAAACTGGCAAGTCTATTTTTATTTCTTGAAATTTCTTATTTTATTTTATATGTGCAAAATTACAAGAGATTAAAGAGTCAGTATGTACAGCAATACCAATGATAAGTGTAAAATTTGAAAGCTGATATACAGGTTATGACTGTGAGACAGAATTTATACAAATTGAATTGAATTATATTTTGTTTTAGTATGGTTGTGGGAAAGTCATAGGTCTGTAACAGAATAGTTTGTTGGTTTGAACATTATATCAAATGTTACTAATATCATCAATGTTTTAATCAATTTTTAAGATACAATTATTTATGTGTTACTAGAATTTTTTCTAGTATCTATGGTTTCAAAGACATGGTATATTCTCTGTCCTTAAAATGCACACTTCTCATAAGTCTATGGATACAAATAAATGAGTCTGGCAGTGACCCTTTATACACATTGAAACATCAGCTATATTAATGTAATTAATAAATTATGTATTGCACACAAGTAACTTCTATGTTCCCAAAGCTCTCCAGTTTGGATAGAAAAAACAATGATAATAAATTTCACACATTCTTGCTTCTATTGTTGCTTCACTAGAATCCCCAATCTCTTGTTTGGTGCTGGGTTCTTCCCCTCAGTATTTATATTCTAGCAATATTTAGGCACTGAAAGTGAAAGAGTATGCTGTAGAAAAATCTATCTTCCCTTTTTATGTTATATTTCACTGAGCAACAGAATAATGTGCCATCACAAAATTCTAAGTGTGTTTAGATTTGTAGAAGGCAGTCATCTATACATATAATTACGTGTATTAAACCCAAATATCCCCTCAACTATTAGAACACTTAAAATAAAACAAGGAAAAGAGGTTGAGAGCTTGTTTTGACTTTCACATGAAGTTATATCTGTCCACTTAAACTTTTCTGTTACAAAAATATCACTGCTCTTTTACACTTGTCATTTTTTTTCTCAAATGGATTAGAACTTGGTTAGAGAATGCAACCTCTATTTGGAAACATTCTCAAAGTCTCCAAAATCTATAGGTGGTGATGCTAATGGTGTTCTGATGTCTTATGGGTTTTTATAGGAACCAGTGTGATGCATTTATTTTGTATATTTTTCCTACTCTCTACAGCACTGAGGCATGAGTCCATGGCTGTCATCACCAGGAGAAATCTTAGAGATAGACAGTCATGCTGCACAGTGATTGTTCCCCTCTGCTCTGATCACCAGAGCTTTTTTGCTGGGCCAGGTTCATTGTTCCCACTTCACTCCTTTGCCATTGAAAAATTCTCCCCCAGGAGGCTCTTCAGCCTCCCATGCTCCACCAGTTCACCATCTGCCTAACTAACCTTAATCCCAGTTTGTGTTCAAACAGAGTAGAACCAATGAATCATCTGATTTTAGTATATAAAAATGTCATGGCTTAAACATGTTAAAAAATAAAAATACTGGGGACTTCCGCCAAGATGGAGGCATAGGTGGATATGCCGTGCCTTCTCACACAACCAAGTTTAGAGACAACTAAATATTAGCAACAGAAAACACAGCCAGAACACAGAAAATTGAACTTTTCGGAAGTCTGTTAACAACAAATTCTTCAGTCTGACTGGTAAGGGGTGAAACCAGCAGCTGGTAGAGCGGGGTTCAGACTCAGGCGCATGGAATCCAGGCGCAGGGTTGGACCTAGTGAGCGACCGAGCCAGTGACCAAGCCAGCAACCGTGGGGAAGCAGCTACGGAGAAGGGCTGCAGGTTGACTTTGGTCGCGCATTTGTGCGCAGATAGACAGGCGAGGGAGTGGGCGATTGGACCGGGACCCAGTGGTCCCTGTGGCATGCAGCAGAGAGGGCACCGCCATTTCCCTGCTTTGACCCCACCTCCACATACAGCGTCATAACTCAGCAACTCTGAGTGGCCCGGCCCTGGTGAACCATCTAAGGCTCTGCTCCTCACCCAGCAGCTTGAAACAGCAGAGGGTGCCGTCATTTCCCCGCTCTGACCACGCCCCCACATACAGCTTCACAACCCAGCAACCTGGGAGTCCAAGGCTCCGCTCCTCACACTTAAAGGGCGAGAACAGACCAAAAATGGCTCAAGAAGATCTCAAAGCCCCAGAGCCTATAAATCTAAGCCATGAAGAAATAGCAAAACTCTCAGACGCACAGTTTAAAACACTGGTCATCAGGATCCTCACAGAACTGGTTGATTATAGCCACAAATTAGACAAATATATGAAGGCGAAACTAATTGAAATGAATGGAATTGCACAGGAAACCAGTAGCAATGAAAAGGAAACTGGGACTCAAATCAATGGAGTGGACCAGAAGAAAGAAAGTATCAACCAAACAGAAAAGAGTCAAGAAGCAAGAATTCAAAGAAATGAGGAGAGTCTTAGGAACCTCCAGGACATCTTTAAATGCTCCAATATCCGAATTATAGGGGTACCAGAAGGGGGAAAGGCACAGCCACCAGTGGAAAACTTATTTGAACAAATAATAAAGGAGAACTTCCCCAATCTGGCAAAGGAAATAGACTTCCAGGAAATCCAGGAAGCTCAGAGAGTCCCAAAGAAGTTGGACCCAAGAAGGAAAACACCAAGGCACATCATCATTACATTAGCCAAGATTAAAATGGAGGAGAGAATCCTAGAAGCAGCAAGAGCTAAGGGGACAGTCACCTACAAAGGAGTCCCCATCAGACTGTCAGCAGATTTCTCAAAAGAGACCTTACAGGCAAGAAGGGGCTGGAAAGAGGTATTCCAACTCATGAAAGCCAAAGACCTACAACCAAGATTGCTCTATCCAGCAAAACTTTCATTTAGAATGGAAGGACAGATAAGGTGCTTCTCAGATAAGATCAAATTCAAGGAGTTCATCATCACCAAGCCCTTATTATATGAAATGTTAAAGGGACTTATCTAAGAAAAAGAAGTTAAAGAAACATGAACAGTGAAAGGACAGCAAACTCACAGTTATTAACAACCACACCTAAAACAAAAGCAAACTAAAAGGACAGCTAGATCAGGAGTGGAAATGTAGAAATGAAGATCTCAAGGAGGGTTAGCACTAGGTGAGTGGGAGGAAGAGCAGGGGGGAGAAGGTACAGAAAATAAGTAGCATAGACAGTAGATAGAAAATAGATGGTGGGGCAAGAATATCATGGGAAATATAGAATCTAAAGAACTTGAGACACATGGTCATAAACTAAAGGGAGGGTAATGGTGGGGATGGGGGTAGGATGGAGGGGAATTAAGGGGGGAATAGAACAACTGTAACAGCATAATAAATAAAAAAATTTTAAAAAGAAAAAAACACAAAAAACTAAACTAAAATAAAATAAAATAACTTAAAAGATCCAACCCGTGTGAGCCAAAGAGTAAGGTCTGGAACCAGAAAACCAGGTGAAGCAGCACCTTGTTAGTTTGCAGCTACAGCCAGGATTAAACCTAAAAGGCCATGGCTCAGGAAAGCAAAATGAAAGATTTACATCTACAGTTAGATTGTAACTACGGTCCTAGCTGGGTAGAAAAAGGGACAGGGGTTTCCTAGCCCAACCTAGAGGACTGTTATTGAAACAACGACACTTTAAATCACAGACTGTTAGAACTCTAATGAAACTTTCAGAGGATATAATTACGGTAATTTTCAAAAAATAGCCCTGGCTGGTATAGCTTAGTGAATTGAGCATGGGCCCGCAAACAAAAGGGTCACAGGTTCTATTCCCTCTATTCCCAGTCAGGGCACATGCCTGGGTTGCAGGCCAGGTCCCCAGTAGGGGGTGTGCAAGAGGCAACCACACATTGATGTTTCTTACCCTTTCTCCTTCCCTTTCCCTCTCTTGAAAAATAAAATTAATAAAATCTTTTAAAATAATCTGTATCACTGTTTGTATGAATTATTTCAAAGAAATTTCTTGTTTATAATTAAATTGAGAAGGTGGTTGACATATTTCTTAAAGAATACAGACTGTCATACCAGATAACCAGGGTTCAAATGCCAGCTCTACCATTTACCTAACTTATACAATATTGTTAGACATGTTTTTCTACTTCTCCAATCCTCATTTATTTTTTGTTTGTATGTTTGTTTCATTAAGGATTTCACCATGTTTAAATTGATGGAAATAATACCTATGCTGTTATAAGGATTAAATAAATTAATACATGTAAAATTTTAAAAACATCTCCTAGTGTATAGGACATACACAATAATTCTAGGCTTCAAATGAAAGGAGAATAGCTCTGATTGAGAGAAGGTGGGTAAGGACATTTCAGAGACCCATTTCCTCACAAACAACTTAAAACATGGCAGCCTCCATAAGAATTCATAGAATTCTGCGAGAGGCTGAGCTTGCTGCATTGCAGCCGCTGCGCTGCTCGGCTCCTCACTCCCAACAATGGCGGCTTCGAGCCCAAGTGGTGGCGGCAGCTCTGGGGGTAGCAGCGGCAACGGCACCCCCGGCCCCATAGGGTCCCCGGTGCCGGGCCACCGGGCTGTCAGCAGGATGCAGAGTAAACGCAAAGCACTGAAGCTGAATTTGCAAATCCACCTTTCAAATCTACAGCAAGGTTTACTCTGAATCCCAATCCTACAGCAGTTCAAAACCCACACATAGAGAGACTGAAAACACACAGCATTGAATCATCAGGAAAACTGAAGATCTCCCCGGAGCAACACTGGGATTTCACTGCAGAGGACTTGAAAGACCTTGGAGAAATTGGACGAGGAGCTTATGGTTCTGTCAACAAAATGGTCCACAAACCAAGTGGACAAATAATGGCAGTTAAAAGAATTCGGTCAACAGTGGATGAAAAAGAACAAAAACAACTTCTTATGGATTTGGATGTGGTAATGCGGAGTAGTGATTGCCCATACATTGTTCAGTTTTATGGTGCACTCTTCAGAGAGGGTGACTGTTGGATCTGTATGGAACTCATGTCTACCTCGTTTGATAAGTTTTACAAATATGTATATAGTGTATTAGATGATGTTATTCCAGAAGAAATTTTAGGCAAAACCACTTTAGCAACTGTGAAAGCACTAAACCACTTAAAAGAAAACTTGAAAATTATTCACAGAGATATCAAACCTTCCAATATCCTTCTGGACAGAAGTGGAAATATTAAACTCTGTGACTTTGGCATCAGCGGACGGCTTGTGGATTCCATTGCCAAGACAAGAGATGCTGGGTGCAGGCCATACATGGCACCTGAAAGAATAGACCCAAGTCCATCACGACAAGGATATGATGTCCGCTCTGATGTCTGGAGTTTGGGGATCACATTGTACGAGTTGGCCCCCGGCCGATTTCCTTATCCAAAGTGGAATAGCGCATTTGATCAGCTAACACAAGTCATGAAAGAAGACCCTCCACAGCTGAGTAATTCAGAGGAAAGGGAATTCTCCCCGAGTTTCATCAACTTTTTCAACTTGTGCCTTACCAAGGATGAATCCAAAAGGCCAAAGTATAAAGAACTTCTGAAACATCCCTTTATTTTAATGTATGAAGAATGTACCATAGAGGTTGCAAGCTATGTTTGTAAAATCCTGGATCAAATGCCAGCCACTCCCAGCTCTCCCATGTATGTTGATTGATACTGCTGCTATGTCAGACTCAAGAAAAAAGGGCTGAGAGGAAGCAAGACATAAAGAATTTTAACCCTGTATCACAGTTTTTTTATTGCTTGCCCAGACACCACATGCAATAAGATTGGTGTTCGTTTCCATCATGTCTGTATACTCCTGTCACCTAGAACATGCATCCCCAAAACACTGGATTGGTCACACAGTGTTAAGTGCTGGTCAGAGAGACCTCATCCTGCTCTTTCCTGATGAACATATTAATGAAATGTGGAAGTCAGTACGATCAACTTGTTGACTGTGATTAGATCTCATCTTAAATTCATTTCTAGACTCAAAACCTGGAGACGCAGATACTGGAGTGGTATTTTGTCAGACTTCCAAGTACTGGAAGAACACAAGGATGGATGTACTATGTCTGAACAGAGAGACTAGGGCTGGCGTGAGAAGAGCTTGCACAGCCAATGAGACACATTGCCTTCTGGAGCTGGGAGACAAGGAGGAATTTACTTCCTTCACCCAGTGCAATAGATTTACTGATTTGACTTCTGTTGCTTTATAGTCACAGTCGATGTTTGGGGATCGATGTGCTCAGCCAAATTCCTGTTTGAAATATCATATTAAATTAGAATGAATTTACCTTTCCAAATTTGTTGCATTCAAAGAGGTGAACATTAAAATATAGAGACAGGACAGAATGTGTGTTCTCCTTTACCAGTACTTCGACTCTCCACTGGGAAGACTCAGGTGTCTGCCACTTGTTAAAGAAGGTGCTGATCCTAAGAATTTTCACTCAGAATTTGGTGTGCTGCCAACTCGATGTTCCATCTGCCTCAAACCACCAGCACTGAAAGAAAAAAAAATAGTACAGAGGGCAAAGTTTACAGATGTTTTTAATTCCAGTATCTTATCTGGAGCAACTTGTAGCAGCTGTGTATTTCCCCTCTGTCCCAAGGCTGCACCTTTGTCATCATAACTCACCACCAGGGAGGAGGAGCTAGTAACAATGTGCCTTGATTGATTAGATAAAGATTTCATGTAGGCAGCAAAAGACCAAATGTAGGTTGTTTGCCATCACTGATCCAGGTCTTCAGTTTTGGAATCTCTCTTTCCCTGCCTGTGTAGTCTATTGCCACTATGTGACTTTTACTTAATCTAGTTATTTCACACACATACCCCGCCCCCCATTTCAAAAACCTTTATAATTACCAGGGATGTTCCGTAACAAAGATTTCTAGCCCCACATCTCTCAGAGGCTCTAATATTTAAAAGACAGAAAGACATGGGGCTCAGCTAATGTGGTAGGTGATGAAGAAGCATCTTTCTGGAAACACATGTGACCCAATGAGGATCTGAAATGGCAATTCTTTAGATAAGCTCATCAGCTGCGAGAAGTCTCTAGCAGGTTACCATCATTTCTTGGAATTGGAATTCTACAAAAATACCCCCAAACCCCAAACAATTACAGAGCAGTAATAAGAGGCCATTTAAACCTGCTGTCTTTGCCGTGCTTCCTCACTCACCCATCAGCCAGGGCCTCCTGTGGCTGTGCTCTGGCCCCCAGCCCAGAGCACCAGGCTTTGCCAGCAGCACTGTGAGTCGCTCAGGCACACTGGAAAGTGAGGCAGCTGTGGTCTGAGGGCAGGTGGCGCGATGACAGAACTGTGCGGTGGCAGGGGTGGCTGTGTCTCCTCAGAGTGACAGTCATAAACACTATAAAACAATAAGGGAGAATGGTGCTGTTTTAAAGTCACATCCCTGTAAATTTCAGAGTTCAAAAATGATTGATCACTTTGATCCACTTGCCTAATTTTCCTATTTTCTCCCCCACGGCATCCTAACCCTCAAACTTCCCAGTGTTCTGAAAGGAAGCCTTGTTAGGTGTCTTCCTTCAAGCACACCAAGCCATCCTCCTCCGTATCTCCCCAGGACTCGAGGAATTGGTTTCTCTACTGTCCGTTCCTGTCTGGCTCAGCATAGTGTCGCTTCACCATTATACAAATGGAGATGAAAGCAATTCTGACTGTCCAGGAGCTAATCTAACCGTTCTGTTGTGTGGATGACCACATAAAAAGGAAATTTTAGTGTATTAATCATAGATTATTATAAACTATAAACTTAAGAGCAAGGAGTTGATTACAATGTATCTTTATTAAAACAAAAGGGTGTATAGTGTTCACAAACTGTGAGAATAGTGTAAGAACTGTACATTGTGAGCTCTGATTATTTTTCTCTCGTACGATAGAAAAATGTATAAAAATTATCGAAAAGCTAATGTGCAGGGATATTGCCTTATTTGTCTGTAAAAATGGAGCTCAGTAACATAACTGCTTCTTGGAGCTTTGGAATATTTTATCCTGTATTCTTGTTTAAATTCCTCCTCTATTTAAGATATATACATGCAATCGAAGTGTTTATGTAATAGTTCTATTCTTTTTGCCTGCAGGTCAGTTGTAATAAATCTAGGATGTGATGATGACTTTGTAATTTGATTTTCTGAAGTAAGACCCTGAGAGGGGAAAATTAAGTAAATTCCATTAAATTATTTGTGCATTTAAAAAAAGAATTCATAGAATTTTTATGGTTTTCCATAGCATACTTTTAATTCATTTTTCTAATAATAACACCCATTCAGTCCAAGATTTCCCTCTATAGTAAGTACTTTTGTCAGATACTGACCTCTGCTTAACACTTTCAAAAAAGTTGTTGCACAGTTTTAAATATCCCAAATATTGAAGATGCAAAGTCTCTTAGTCAGTAAAGTTGGAGGTACCATTGATCCAGGAGGCAACAAGATGTAATGGGAGGAAGAGCTGTCCTTGCTTCTGAAAGATCTAGAATCCCATCTCTAGCACCTCTTAGCTGTACAACCTCAAGAATGAGACTGAACTTTTCTGAATCTTCATTTACTCATATTGAAAATAGGGATAATCTTCCTATATATCTCATAAATTTGCCATGAGTATTGAATTAGACAATATAAGTGAAGTGGCTGACTCAGTCAGCACTCCAAATGTTGCTTGTTATGATTTTACCCATTAATTATCTTTTTCTTTGGAGATCAATAAAAAAAAAACAAATCATTCTTCCACATAATTGTCAGATCTTATAGTTAAGCAGATTATACAAAACTCACTTTTTATTTTGGTTCTTTCCTTTCCTGGGTTTCTAGACCCCTCACCATCCTGAATATCTTTCTTTTATTAGTCTTTGTTTGCCAATGATCTCCTAACATGGTGGCAATACAGCTTGATTACAAGTTGCATGTGGAGATTCAACTTTTCTTAGATAGAATGCTTTGTTTATTGAAACAACCCAATTTTCTGAAACTTCATTATGTTCTCAGCTTATATTGAGCCTATGTTTAAAAACCCAGACTGGGAACAAAGGTGAGAGAATTTACCTAAGTTGTCAAACCATTTATTTGTTCCTGCCTTACTAAAGGGACTGAATAATCCTAAGACTCAGTCTTTTGTTGATAAGATTAGTATAGGAAATGTGTTTGCATGTGACACTAAAAGTATCCTGATTTTAGGACATGAAATAGAAAATACCAATGATGTGGGGAACCTTAGGCATGTTCTCTACAAAACCTTATAGTTTCTCCTAAAATGTCTCCTTGTTTTGTCCATTATATTCTATTGACCTCAAACTTTAAGATTATGCCCACATAAAGATACATCATGAAAGTAATAACAAAAATTAAGGAGGATCCCAAATCTATTTCTCATTGTATCCACAATCATAGACACCCTGTGTAAGATCATATAAATTGATTGGGATAGTGGTCATGGTTTTGCTTTGATTGGACATTTACAGTTACTTCTTCATTTCTGACTTTACCAATTTAGATTTATAATTCATGCAATGAATGTGAAGGTTTTATTTTGATTTGTACTGAAGATCTACTAAAGACTAGTTACTATGCCAGAATTTCTAGAGATGGAATGGTCAGAGAAATGTACATGATGTAGTCTTTGCACTTAAGGAGGTTACAGCTAGCTATGATTAGGTAATTTCAATAAAATACAATAAGTGGTATTACTCAAAAATTCAACAGTACAAGGCATCATAGAGGAGACAACAAACAAGTGCCTGCATGGGAAGGCTGAAATAACAGCAGTTAATTTTTTCTGAGACCTGAAATATAAAAGGAATTTTAAAAATTAACCAAGTTTTAAAGGTTTAATTGTCTTGTGTATGTGTGCATGTCTATATCTACACATAAAATGCATACTATGTATTATGGAGAAATAACATCTATCTGTTTTATTTTTAAAAGTATGCTTTTCAACAGTTTTGAATTACTTTTATTTAACACAAAATATTAAACATTCTTACACTATTCATTTAAAACGGTTAAAAATAACTTTTATTTGACAAAATATATTAAATATATTTCTTAAGAATTTTAATTTACAGATACACTCTTTTTAACACAAGCTACAATGAAATCATTCTGTTTAAACTGTTATTTTATCCAGGCTTCATTAATATACACTTACCTCCCTCTAAGTCATTTGAATCTGAATGAGCATAGTACATCAAGATATGTGAGTAACAAATGCAGCCAAGCTAATGGATCTTAGTCAATTCTTGCCTGTGAAGAAAACCAATTTTAACCCGGTAAATCAATTGGAAATGTGAGAAACTCAGACGGCAGGAAACCAATGACCCAATCCACTTAAATTGGGCTAGAAATGAAATTTCAGACTACAAAATGCTTTAAGAGTTAGAGGAACTAAGCAATGTAGTGAGTGTGGTTTGCTGGGAAGAAGTGTTAAACTTCCTGACTATGGGAGAATAGCATATCCTAAGGGAAATTATAATTAAAGCACAACAGATTGTATTTTTCTTTTTCAGAGGAATTGTGAAGTGCTAGATGAATTCAGTGCAGCCTCCTAAAGGACTGTTTGAAGATCTCCAGGCAAAGAAAAATCTGTTCTGGAAACCGGGGGAAAAAGGAAAATACAATAAAATAAGAGTCTGCTGTATTAGATAAGAATTTTAGGAAATAAATAGAGGCAGCAGAAAAGTGAAATGAATTCATGCTCATAAAAGCAGTCAGAGATGATAAA